CCCTACCCTAATCTATCAGACTGTCACCGACCCTCCTCACCTTCAGGTGCACCCTAAAAACCCATCTCTTCAGGGAAGCCTACCCAATTCTCACCTAACAACCGATCATCTCCACTCCTCCTACCACTCCATCCCCCACAGCCACTTCCTCCTGTACCACTATCCCCTCCCTCCTAGATTGTAAGCTCGAAAGAGCAGGGCCCTCTAACACCTTGTGTATTGTATTGTACTGTATTGTCTCATGTTCTGTCCCCCTCGCTAATGTACAGCGCTGAGCAAACCCTTTGGTGCTATGTAATTACTGTATAATAATAATAATTGTGTTGAATAAAGTCACATACATAGCTAGATCGAATTTAAATGTATTCAATGTGATTTGTAGGTAGCTGTTTGCAAGAAATGTGTTCTTTGTATACATCTGTAATAGACATGTGTACAAGCATATTGTAACTTCAGTTTATATGATTGTATTGTTTGTATAGTTTTACAGAACTATTCACAGAAGTAAATTCAGTTTTGGAATGAAACATAGCACTGCTTCTTTCAGTTTTGTTAGCTACAGTAGCTGTCAGCTAATAGGATAGCATACCGGGGATAGTAATGAAATAAAAGTTATCAGTTGTAAACATTTATGTAGCACACAGAACTATTGTGTGCCATCTGAGCTACCAGCTTGTCACTAGTTTAATGCAATGCAGATGGCCACATTCTTTTCCATCTGGATGCAAGCATACAGCCCCTGGAAAAAGTGTTTGATTGGCTACAAGGTCTTACTTACACTGATGCAATCTGATACATGGATCGAGATGGAATTCTTCACTCAGTTAAAAGTAGTTAGCTATGAAAAACAAATGTTGTAATATTTATTAGGATACAATATATAAATGTTATTCATATGCAGTATAGTATATGACATATCTGCAAACAATGTTGCCATTTAACCAGTTTCAGCTGGGGTCAATTCTGACATTCCTCTCATACATGTAAAAAAAAAATTTTTTTGCTAGAAAACTACTTAGAACCTCCAAACATTATATATTTTTAAGCAGAGGCCCTTGATCATAAAATGGTGGGTGTTGCATATTTTTATGTCATATGATATTTGTGCAGCGTTATTTTTAATACATTTTGGGAAATTTTTGGTATTTTTGGGAAAAAATACACTTTAATAAATTTTAATGCACACAATATAACGCCCAACTTTAAAATATAAAAGATGATGTTACAAGTAAATAGATACCAAACCTGTCATCCATGGAGTGGCACCAAACTACAGTGCCTAAAAATCACCATAGGCGACAATTTAAAAACCCTTACAGGTTACCAGTTTAGGGTTACACAGATTTCCAGCTAGAATGATTGCTCTGATATTTGTGTAAATACCTCACACGTCTGGTGGGATCACTACAGGACTTAAAGTGTTACTAAACCCACACCAGTAAAATTGGTCTGTATATGCAGTAGAGCATGCTTGTTATACTCACTATGGAACCTAAGGGGGTTAATCCTCTGTATTGTGTAAAAATTCTGTTTGATCCTGACTTCTCTGATCCTACACTTCTTCCAGTGCCCTCCTCTTATTTCCTGATTAGACATTACTGTGTAGTCACTCTGCACGTGCTCAGTTTAGTGTGTATTTTTTCTTGGGAGAGTTCATGTGATCAGCACAGGGCCAATTAGCACTGTCCAGACAGAGGTCAGCGGTTCTGCATCCTCCTAGAGCAGAAAGAAAACTCCTCCTACAAACATTAGCCAGTGCTCTGCTGGACATTGATAGAAGTCACAAGACTGCTCTAACTGCTGATGAGAAAAGGTATTTAGCAGTTTATATTTACTAAACTAATTACATTTCCATGTAGTGTGTACTGTGGGAGACCAGATAGAGTGAATGAAGGGTGCTGGGTTTAGTAACACTTTTAATCCTTGAAGTGTGGGCACACTCCCTCTTCAAAGGAGGATTTTGGTTTTCCCCGGAGTTCAGCTTTAAAGTCTATAGTTATCTTAATGGAACATAACACTGAATACCCATTGATCTTTTGTTCTTGAGACATTAAGGAGAGGTTACAGCAGTGTTCAGAAGCAACAGCATTCCCCTCTGCACATTCCACCCTCTCCTTGTCGCTTTCTCCTTGATGTTAATCAAGTTTCAGTACCATGAAGCTGGGGGATGCTCTGCTTTCATGCAGACCTGAAGATAAGCAACAGTAGAGGATGGGAGAGATAGGAAACAGTTTCTTATCAGATTGAACGTGTGGTTAAAAAAAAACAAAACACCAGGCTAGAAAATCTGAAGCTTGAGGAGAGCAGGATCACTGAGCAGTAGTATAGAGAGGGCTTAGTAGATATTTCTAGCAGGGGATTTAAAGGGTATGTAAAGGATAAAAAAAAACATATTTTACATCTTTGCAATACATTATTATTAATATTATACAGGATTTATATAGCACCAACAGTTTGCTCAGCGCTTTACAATATAAACATGCACATTTCTCCATGTTTTATTCCTTTAGATTGTAAGCTCCAAGGAGCAGGGCCCTCCTAACCAGGGGCGGACTGACCATTTGGAAACTCAGGCACTGCCCGAGGGCCTGGGGTAAGTAGGGGGCCCCATGAAATGCCCCTGGTACCTTTTTCATAGGCTTTTTTTAGTTTGGGCAAGGACACAGGGGCCCCATGATCCCTTATTGCCCAGGGGCCCCATGAGTTGTCAGTCCGCCCCTGCTCCTAACCCTCTTGTATTGAATTGTATTGTTGCTGTATTGTCTCCATTTATTTTGTAAAGCGCTGAGCAAACTGTTGGCGCTATATAAATCCTGTATAGTAATAATAATAATTCCTTTAAATACACTGCAATACCCTAAGTACAGAAAATAACTTTTGGTGTGTAAGAAATGCAGCGCACTCCTACTATCTTTGGCATGACACGAAGTTCAGAACATTTTTGTCTCTAAATTGTAAAGGTGTCAGCCCTGCCTGCTTCACTTCTGATAGAATACAAAGAACATAAACCTCTCTGTATCTCCCTCCCTCCTCCTCATGTCTAATAACTAGGGCAATAGGTTGCTACGCGGACAGTTTTTTTTGTCAATGCAAATGCAACTTCATAAAGAGGTAGTTTTGGACCATGCCATCAAAACCATCCTTTGGCAGGCCTTGACCCTCAGAGGTTGCTCTGGGCAGAGGTAAAATATTAAAAAAAAACTTTATCATTTTTGCATGCTGTCAACAGCAAAAAAAAAAAAATGCAGGTTCATTGTTATCACTATAGTATTAGAATAGACATTGAGAGGACATCTGGTAGGTCTTGAAAGAAATGGAGCCCCAGGGCTTGTATGTAATGTTAAAACATGATTTACCATTCACAAGGAATTGTCATTTTAGTAAAATAGACTTTGCCAGAAAATAACCAATTTCAAATTTACCAATTTTTTTTAACCTCTCAACCTCTCAATTTTGCTCATTCCTATTCCCCACTAACATGTCAAAAACATGAAAATAAACCCACTGATGATGCTACAATTGTAGAAGATATATATTTTTTTTTCTGGTCAAACGCAGCCCAAGTAATATGTTATATGATAGTGTATATATATATATATATATATATATATATATATATATATATATATATATATATATACAGTATGTAAAATCAGATGAATCAGATTCTGGGGCTGTTTAAGTGAATGTCTATTAAACTGCAGTTTTTCTTTTATGTGCACATCAATTATTACAATATGTGACTTTGCCCCTTGAGTTACACACAGCCACTTTCTTCTCACAATTACACAACTGCAACAAATTACATTTCTGAGGTCTCATGATTTGAAAGAGTTCCTGGATTGTTATACCCCTTTACAACACAGGAAATTCCATTTATTTAGTGGATAAACCAGAGTATTTTGTTCTGGAATAACTGGAAACAATTAATGACGCAAAACTAATTTGCTGTAGTTAGGCATCTATTTCACGTATTTGCCATCTCTCTTTAGAAAGTGTGCTAATGCAAATTTTATCATTGAAAAATAGCATTCCAGTGGTGTTCATTCCCATTCCAAAGCTAGAATTTTTTTTCCTCACACAAGCATAGCAGCATACTAAACATACAGTTAGGTCCATATATACCGTATTTTTCGCTCCATAAGACACACCTGACCATAAGACGCACCTAGGCTTTAGAGGTGGAAAACTAGAAAAAAAATATTCTGAACCAATGAACTGCAGACATAGTACAGGAAATGACCAGAGATTGCAGACATAGTACAGTAGTACAGGAGATGACCAAAGACTGCGGACACAGTACAGGAGATGACCAGAGACTGCGGACACAGTACAGGAGATGACCAGAGACTGCGGACACAGTACAGGAGATGACCAGAGACTGCGGACACAGTACAGGAGATGACCAGAGACTGAGGACATAGTACAGGAGATGACCAGAGACTGCGGACACAGTACAGGAGATGACCAGAGACTGCGGACATAGTACAGGAGATGACCAGAGACTGCCGACAGTACAGGAGATGACCAGAGACTGCGGACACAGTACAGGAGATGACCAGAGACTGCGGACACAGTACAGGAGATGACCAGAGACTGCGGACACAGTACAGGAGATGACCAGAGACTGCGGACACAGTACAGGAGATGACCAGAGACTGCGGACACAGTACAGGAGATGACCAGAGACTGCGGACACAGTACAGGAGATGACCAGAGACTGCGGACACAGGACAGGAGATGACCAGAGACTGCGGACACAGTACAGGAGATGACCAGAGACTGCGGACACAGTACAGGAGATGACCAGAGACTGCGGACACAGTACAGGAGATGACCAGAGACTGCGGACACAGTACAGGAGATGACCAGAGACTGCGGACACAGTACAGGAGATGACCAGAGACTGCGGACACAGTACAGGAGATGACCAGAGACTGCGGACACAGTACAGGGGATGACCAGAGACTGCGGACATACAGTACAGGAGATGACCAGAGACTGCGGACACAGTACAGGAGATGACCAGAGACTGCGGACACAGTACAGGAGATGACCAGAGACTGACTGTACGGGGGTGACCACTGTACTACAGGAGATGACCAGAGACTGCGGACACAGTACAGGAGATGACCAGAGACTGCGGACACAGTACAGGAGATGACCAGAGACTGCCGACACAGTACAGGAGATGACCAGAGACTGCGGACACAGTACAGGAGATGACCAGAGATTGCCGACATAGTACAGGAGATGACCAGAGACTGCGGACACAGTACAGGAGATGACCAGAGACCGACATGGGACATAGTACACAGGAGATGACCAGAGACTGTGACATGCGGACATACTACATCATATAAAGTCCCAACAGGGCCCCTCCACCCAGAATATCAAATGATCTGACACCATACATCAAGGAAAAGGACTACAACTCCCAGCATCTGTCATTTTTAACTTACAGAAGGCAGGCTATAGAAGGTAGGGGGCACACTGAGCTCCAAGGACAGGCCACACCAGCAGATAGGACCAGACTGCAGAGCAGGGAACGCACTATGGACACATGCCAGGAGCGGGGAGGAGCTGTAAGGACAAGCCACACCTGCAGACCGAACCGGACTGCAGAGCAGGGAGCGCAGTACATAGAAATGCCAGGAGCGGGGAGGAGCTCTGAGGACAGGCCACGTCTGCAGGGTGGACCAGACTGCAGAGCAAGCTGGCTGGGTTCGGCAAGGGGACTGCCTGCTATGAAGAGCCGCGGGGACAGCCCGCTGATAGAGGGGATAAGGTAAGGTGAACTTCGATGACAGCCTGCAGTGGGAGAGGACAGGCTGCTGTAGGATGGGACAGCCGCTGGCCCTAATACGGCGGCAGTGACAGGTGGAGGACTGGTCAGTATTCGCTCCATAAGATGCACAGACATTTTCCCCCATATTTTTGGGGGTAAAAAGTGCGTCTTATGGAGCAAAAAATACGGTATTTGGACACAGGCACAATTTTAGATTTTTTCAGGTATTTACCAAAACATATTCAAGCTATAGTTATATATTGGGAATGTGCTGAAAATGCACACTCTCAAGTTTAATTTGAAGGTATGTACATCTAATTTGGAGGAAGGGTTTAAGAATTACAATTCTTAAGAGTAGTCATCCCCCCTTTTTTCAAGGGACTAAAAGTATTTGGATAATTGAATCAAAAGCTGTTTCATGGCCAGGTGTGGGCCACTCGTTATTTCTTCATTAATTAAGGAGGTAAAAGGTCTGCAGTTGATTCTAAGGCTGGCCATGCACTATACAATGTTCTGTCCAATTTCTGCCCTGTTTTCTGTAGATTTACCTTCAACTGTGTAGTGCAAGGGCCTGCCTAATTGGATACAATTGAAAGTGTTGTTTAGGTTTGACCTCATATTATATATATGGTTATATATATGGTTTTTGGAAAACCTAAAGCAATTTTCTAAAGAAAATTGTATAGTGTATGGCCAGCCAAGTGTGGTATTTGCATTTGGAATCTATTGCTGTGAGCCTACTGCAAGTAGGTAGGTGGTCTTTTTCCTGTTCCTTGGGGGCCCTCTTTAAGATACCAATGGTCACACCTGGACACAACTACGAGATCTCGGAAAGTGAATGCACTCAAGTCACCTCAGTTGTGATTGTAAACACTTTAGTTTTATTGGCATAACATCAGGGTTTTTATACTGCAATCTTTGGGCAAAAACACCCTCAGACCATCCAATCAAATACATGTACATTATTTTTACCTTCACTCAACAATTATTTGTATGAGGTTTGCATTTTCACTCTTCTGCTTTATCTGTCATGCCATATCTGGTCTAACGCCCAGACCATGGCTATAATCTGAACCAACGCCCAAGCTGTGGTTACAACTTTTCAGAAATGAGAGTAAAGCTTATCTGCTTTTTTGTAAAGTTTGCAAAACACTCATTTCTACATGAAGCTGGCATAGACAGTTTTGTTAGTGTGTACATATCTCATATATGTGTATGTTAAACAAAAATCTTGTATTAGTGTATACAAAATGGATTCAGTTATATTCCATTTAGCCTTTCACCTACCTCATTTGTTCAAAGGAGCTGTCCATAAAAGTGAAACAGGCCATTGTAAGGCTTTAAAAATTAAACAAATCCATCAGAGAGATAACAGCAACATTAGGAGTTGCCAAATCAACAGTTACATTCTGAGGAAAGAAGAACACACTGGTGAGCTCAGCAACCTAATAAGGCGCAAACCATTCATAAGCCTGAAAAATAGAAAACTAAACTTTGCCAAAAAAAATCTAAAAAAGCCAAACCAGTTCTGGAAAAGCATTCTTTGGACGGATGAAACGAAGATTTATCTGTACCAGAATGACGGGAAGAATAAAGTGTTGAGAAGGCTTGGAACAGCTCATGATCTAAAGCACACAACGTCATCTGTAAGACATGGTGGAGGAAGTGTGATGGCATGGCATGAATGGCTTCTAGTGGCACTGGGTCATTGGTGTTTATTGATCATGTGACAGAAAACAGAAGCCGCCAGATGAATTTTGCAGTGTTTAGAGATATACTGTCAGCCCAGATTCAGCCAAATGCAGCAAAGTTGATTGGACAGCGCTTCACAGTACAGATGGACAATGATCCAAAACACACTGCAAAAGCACCCCAGGAGCTTTTGAAGGAAAAGAAGTGGAATATTCTGCAATGGTCGAGTCAATGACCTGATCTCAACCCAATTGAGTTTCACTTGCTGAAGGCAAAATTAAATGCAGAAAGACCCACAAATAAAGAACTACTGAAGACAGCTGCAGTTAGAGCCTGGCAAAGCATCAGAATGGAGGAAACCCAGTCTTTGGTACTGTCCATGGGTTCCAGACTTCAGGCAGTCATTCTCAACAAAGGATTCTCAACAAAGTATTAAAGATGAACATTTTATTTATGATTATATTCATTTGTCCAATTACAACTGAGCCCCTGAAATTGGAGGGACTGTGTATAAAAAATGTTGCAGTTCCTAAAATTTGTACTTGATATTTACTGTATGTTCGACCCCTTGAGTTAAAGCTGAAAGTCTGCACTTCAAATTAGTTTAGATTGTTTTGTTTTAATTTATTCTGGTGGCATACAGAGCCAAAAGTATGAAAATTGTGCCTGTGTCCAAATATATATGGACCTAACTGTATATGCTGCCATGGATTGGAGTCCAGAAAGCACATTTTTGGTATTTGATGCAATTTTCTATTTTTTTTTAATACATTACAGGATACAGGATGGTATTTTGATATGTAGCTAATGCTGCTACCTGCAGAAGATAACCCTTTCTGCTCACAGCATGCCTCAGCTTTGTTAGCAAGCAATAGCGGGAGTGGACCATAAGCAACAGAGGGGCAGGACATTTGTCCTGTAATATACTCCAAGAAAACGATTTTACAGGTAGGACAAAAAATCCTATTTTCTTAATGAACCTGTGAACAGAAGACCGGGTAGTGGTATCTGAAAAACAGATGACTGATGCTGAAAAGCCCCAAAAGCATGAACAGATCTAGTACAGTGTGCTCGGTACCTTGCTCTTAAAGTTGATGTCTATTCCTAACTAAGCTTAAATCTGTTCGCACCCCCTTTCTAAACCCTACTCCATCTACATCCATCTCAAAGTAAAATGTGTATATTTACCTATTCTGAGAGTGATCTGATCACATGATCAGTGTCAGTGGCAGCTTCATTGTAGACGAGGGCCAGCCGACAAAGGATGTCTCAAAGTAAGCCTATGGGCAATGTCAGCCCTCAGGCTCTGCAGCTGTTTTTGGCGATCTCTCACAAGGATTCATGCCACAGAGTACTTCCTGAGATGGAAATGTCTTGCATAGCACAAGAAATATGAATTCCAAGTGTAATGATATACCTTGAATGAGAAATGTTGATATACCTTGAATGAGGTTGACTTCCTAGTCTTCAACATTGTAGGAAAAACTGAAGTGGATAGGCCCTTATCCTTTCGGACCTGCATATCACTAGCCATGCTATTAAAGCAAGCAATTCCAAGCAGGGTGGTAAACCAACTCTTGGGACAGAAGATCCAGGCAATCTGGGCATGCCAATGTAGAGTCTGATAGAAGTCTGATGAGGTCCAAATACCACACCTGCCTGGACCAGTTTGGTGTGATAAGAATCATTGAAATACCCATGGAGTCACTAAGGCATCCACTGTTTGAGTGAAGAGATCCATTGACCTGGATATGAACCTTTCCAGTTTGTCTCAGAACTAGGGTTGCCACCACATCCCTTTAAAACCAAACACATATTAATTACACAGGTTCTAAGGCTAATTTCATGCATATAAGGCACTAGGTGAGTTTAATTACCACCTTAATCAGCCACAGAACCTGTGTAAATAATATGTGTTCAGTTTTAAAGAGATGAGGTGGCAACCCTACTCGGAACCTGGATGAACAGATCATTCTCAAACTTGATGACTGAAGAAGTCTGCTTGTCAATTTTCCATGCCTGGAATGTGTATAGGGAAAGGGCTGGTATGCGTAGATCTGCCAAAGCGAGAATCTGAACCGCCTCTCTTTGAGCAGGGAGACTTCTGGTCCCCCCTCCCAGTGGTAGATGTAAGCTACCACCATAACGTTGCCCAACTGAATTCTGATATGATGATTCTGAATTGAATCACCCTGAGCTCAAGAATGTTGGTCGGAAAGCAGGCTTCCTATGGTGTCCCTTGCTTTGAGAGAGTCCAAGACTCCTCCCCATCCTGACAGACTGGTATCTGTTGTGAAAACCTGCCAGCAGAGAATCAGGAATGACTTACTTGGTCTCAGAACTGGATTTGTGACCCCCCCCCCCTCCTCCCAAGCAAGGGCAAGCTGGATTCTGGGTTGAGGGTGAATGTCCAGAGATCATGTCTTCTTGTCCCACACAGCCAAAATGTTGAGTTGCAATGGCCTTGAAGAAGGTCTCCAGAATGACCAAAACCCTCATGCAGAAATTTAGAGTTGGTTGGTTCCAGGACAGAACCATACAAAAGTGGAAGTGTAAGGTTTGGAGCTTGTTCTGTGGGAGGAAAACCTTGGACCCCTGTGCCTGGGAGGCGGCCCTCATATTCTAAGTTTTAAAGCATAGCTAAAGTCAAAAGTTTGTTTTAGTTTTGGATAGAGTGGAGAGGGATTAGAACACCACTCAGTTTTCATTGCTGTCTGTGCCCCTATTAGGGAGATTCACTCTCTCTAATTTTCCTGTTTACCATTATCATTGAAAGTGAAAGTAAAAGAAAATCGCAAATTTTGGGTTGTCCCCTGAAAAGTAATAAAGGGGAAATCTTCCAATGGGGATACTAGTTCTGGTGACCTGGGGGTCCCCAAGGAATTCCCTTAATTTGCAGGGATTTCCTCTCACTTCCTGTTTGGCTATGGGACAGGAAGTGAAGGTAAATCTCCGCAATGGCCAAAAAAATCTGAAAGGGGTTATAATCCTCCCTAGCTTTATCCAAAACAGAAAAAAGATTTGCCTATAGTTCTACTTTAAGTCTGTGTAAGTGAAATCTTCTGGAGGTTCAAGATCCAACCAAATTTCTGCAGGGTCTTAACGGTTTGTTTGACACTGAAAACCATAGCCTGAGCCCACTGTTCTCTCAGGAGAACATTATCCAGATATCTCACTATATGTGGAAAACCCAAGCAAAAAGCAGGGCAAGGATGGGGCTAGCAAATTGTAGTGGAAAGGCCAAGGGAAGGGCAATTACTTGGTACTTTTGCTTACCTTCCACAAACCGCAGGAACAATTGGTACACTGGGATAATGGAGGTATGCAAGTAGGCATCCTTGCTGTCTTACGCAGCCAGAAAATTCCCTTACTGTAGGGA